GAAACTTTTACCTATTACTGGGTAAATATTTAATATTTATCTCTAGAATAGTGTTTCATGAGCACATCTTAGTTCCCCTGCCACCCTGCAAACCTTTGAGGGTAGAATTTTTTATTCTCTTATGGCACCAAGTTTTGATATCAGCCCTTAGAAATGGTTCTGGCTAGTTGATTAAAAACTACCTGAAATAAGGTGCTCCTCTGGAACAAGGTGGGAAGGAGACTTTCCAGTGTTTACTCTGTATGCTTTTTCAATTTGATGTCATATGAATTTATTACTTATTCACAAAAGAAATTAAGGTATAAAAATACATACGGATTCCAGGGTCTCACCCCAGCTGTTCTAAACCAGAATCTCTGTAGGAGCAGGGGAGATGGAATCTGTAAAGCTGTACTATCTGGATACCTCTCAGGTGATTTTGATGCCTAGCCAGGTTTAGGAACCACTGCCTCAAAGCACATAATAGGTATTCAGTAAGCATTCGTTCAAAGGAGGAATGAACACTTGTCCTTTTTTTTTTTTTTTTTTTTTTTTTTTTTTTTTTGAGATGGAGTCTCGCTCTATTGCCCAGGCTGGAATGCAGTGGTGCAATCTTGGCTCACTGCAACCTCTGCCTCCTGGGTTCAAGCAATTCTTCTGCCTCAGCCTCCTGAGTAGCTGGGACTACAGGTGCATGCCACCATGCCCAGCTGATTGATTGCTTGTGTTTCTATAGCACTTAGCTGATGCCTTCTGCCTAGCAATTGTTCAGTAAATATTTGTTAAGAGAATTAAAGTAAATTTTGAATTCAGATGCCATCACCACCTCCAACACCCCATCCTACTTTCTCTCTCTCTCTTTTTTTTTTTTTTTTTTTTTTTTTTTTTTTTGAGACGGAGTTTTGCTCTTGTTGCCCAGGCTGGAGTGCAATGGTGCAATCTTGGCTCACCACAACCTCTGCCTCCCGGGTTCAAGCAATTCTCCTGTCTCAGCCTCCCAAGTAGCTGGGATTATAGGCATGTGCCACCAGGCCTGGCTAATTTTGTATTTTTAGTAGAGACGGGTTTTCACCATGTTGGTGAGGCTGATCATGAACTCCCGACCTCAGGTGATCCACCCGCCTTGGCCTACCAAAGTGCTAGGATTACAGGCATGAGCCACCACGCCTCACCCACCTCATCCCACTTTCTTAGCTCAGATCTCATTATGACTCTCAATGGTTCCCTATTCACTTCTATATAAAATTTAACTGTAGGGAGTCCTTTAGGGCCCTTTATGATCTGGTCTGACCCTTCTTTCCCAGGCCGTCTCATTCAACAGATACATGCTGAGGCCTGCCATGTGCCTGACCCCATATAGACACTGTCGACTGGGCTGCACACACCACTCCTGCCACCACTCAGGCTCCCTCATCAGCCCCTGAGAACAGTATCTGCTTTGATCATTTTTAATTTATTTTGCCTATAGTGTTCCTTCTCCTTACAGAATCCTTCCTATACCCCTGTTTTACTTATTTATGGAAGTAATCCAGGGCCTCTGTAAATAATTTTACTTACTCTTCTAACATTTTATACTTATCTCCAGTATATGGCCTGCCCTCATGGATTCCAATGATTAGTTGACAGTTCTCTTTCTTCCCCTAGACTCTGGGCTCCTTGAGATCAGCGACTTGCCTTCCTCCTGTTCATATCTCCAGTATATCTCTAGCACCCAAGTACTATGTCTGACCATATTAACATATTTACTGAATAAAGTTGTTAGAAGGTGTGTCAAGAAGGCAAGTCAAGGTGCTACTTAGTAACTATGATTTTTAAAGGATTTCTGCCACACAAAGGTAGATATCCCCCCTGAAAAATGTCATGCTTTGATTTTGCAAAGTTATGACAATATTTTAATGACATATATAATGATACTTATTGTATATGTTGTTCTGTTAAGTATGACTACAGTATTATTCTGTGTTAAAAGTAACACGGCCTTTTGCTGACCATCCTAGCTGAACAATCTGAGAGAAGAATCAGAATCCCACAGAAGTGGTTGGGGCTTTGTATATTATAAATCTGAGTCAGGACACCCTAGAGTGTTCATTACCCGATGTGAAATGCCGTATTCCCCAAATGGAAGCAGAGCCTAAAGGGAGATTCAGGATGCTGTGAAGCAGAATGTTTTGGAAGAAGCAGTAGTTTTGAATTGGAAGGACAAAATACATGATGTCAGCCTAGACCTAAGCCACCTTTCTGAATCATAGAGCATGTGTCTTTTCAGATCTGAAGCTATCTAGTCAGGCTGATAAAGTATTAAAATAATGTGTGGGCTTCTGAGAAGCCAAACATGATAAAAATATATGCGTCAGGGGAGAAAGGAGATCCTACAGGGGCCCAGAGCAGAGAGACTTCAAAGAAGGCAAAAGAAACATCAGCATAGTATGCTATCGATCTGTGACCCAGTGAAGGACAGACTCCTTCACTCCGGGGTGACCCTTTCTCCCCTTCAGGGGCAAAGAGGAAGTCATAAGATTCCATTTCATTTCATTCTAGTTTTATTTGTAGAAATAATCCCCCATACTTCTGGAAAAGATTCATAGAAGAGTACAGTTAAAGGCAGGGTAGACAAGAGCAGAAGAACTAATGTTAAAGAAAATGAAACAATAGGCACACCAGAAACCCAGGCCAAGAATAGCTACAACAATTGATGATAAAAGTTAGTTCTGAGCTTCTTTGTCTTGAGAATTAAAACAGAAACATGGTGAATATAGTGTTCTCATTATCTGAATTGAAGAATTTGTTAATAGAAAGGTACTTTTTTCCTATGACTGGATACTATAAAAGAATTTGTCAGATGGATCCTTGTATAAAGGACATTAAATAACATAATAGTCACAGCTTATAATAGCAGCTTTACAAAAAGGTAAAGAGAGGTTCTTTGTGTGGCCATCTGGTCCATCCAACTAAATAAATGCCATGAGCTAAATGTTATACTTTAGTGCCAGGAAAGCATTGCCACTGAGTTAAAGTTGTATCATCAAACTGTAAGGCTTTCTGGAGACGTCACTTAATACAGAATAGCATGGAGAGACTGGATGAATAGCTGGTTAGTATGTTCTGTAGACCAGAGGGGTTTTTTTGGTGTGTGTTTTGTTTGTTTGTTTGTTTTGCTTTACTTTTAACTGCATGTGGTGATCTATTAGTGGGTAGTGAAATTAGTGAGTTGCTGTAAGCATTCTTTAAAAGAAAAGGCTGGGTATGGTGGCTCACGCCTGTAATCCCAGCACTTTGGGAGGCCGAGGCGGGCAGATCACAAGGTCAAGAGATCGAGACCATCTTGGCCAACATGATGAAACCCCGTCTCTACTAAAAATACAAAAATTAGCTGGGCATGGTGGCATGTGCCTGTAGTCCCAGTTACTTGGGAGGCCGAGGCAGGAGAATTGCTTGAACTCTGGAGCCGGAGGCTGCAGTGATCTGAGATCATGCTACTGCACTCCAGCCTGGCGACAGAGCGAGACTCCATCTCAAAAAGAAAAGTACTAGAGCAGAACAGAATGCATCACACCTAGTAAGGGTGAGTGTTAATTTCATTTGTGTCTTAGGTCACTATGTACTGTGACAGAGATCGTAAGAGATAGGTCACTGTCTCTTACTGTGGGAAGTACGAAAGCTGCTGCTTTTCACTGCCCCTCACTAAAATATCAGTTAGTAAACTCTAGCACCCCAAGCTCATGGAGTAGGACTTATATAGAGAATATAGCAAATACAGAGAAGAATAGAGATGGGATCCTCAGACCAGAACAAGAGCCACTGTGCCTTGAAGTTGTGCTAATTCAGGAACCTATGACTAGATTCATTCTTGTCCATTCTTGTCAAAGGATTTAGAAATGTCCTTTCCTGGTTTTACATTTTATCTCCTTTGTATTTGCCTTCAGTACCCGACAGTTCTTTTTGAAAGCCCTAGTCTACTTTGTCTCTACTAAAGGGGAAACTAGAAAAGGAACCTGATGAGTCCCCGCAGGGCCAGTAGCGCAGAAAGGCAGGGTGCCCCTGGTGGTCAGACTCGATTACACACCCTGCAACTCTAGAGAGAGAGACCCTTCTAAGCCACAAATCAGGAAGGGCTCCTTCAGTTCTTGCTGCTTCTCTGAGTGGGCAATAGCTTTGCATATAGGTACCACTTAAGGAAAATTCATTTAAAAAAATAGCCTGGGCAACATGGCGAAACCCCATCTCTACCAACAATACAAAAATTAGCCGGGCGTGGTGGCTTGCACCTGTGGTCCCAGCTACTCAGGAAGCTGAGGTGAGAGAATAGCTTGAGTCTGGGAAGTGGAGGTTACAGTGAGCAGAGACTGTGACACTGCACTCCAGCCTGGGCGACAGAGTGAGACTTTGTCTCAAAAAAAAAATAAATCATTTTCCTGCTTCATGGTTATGACTGGATCATCAGAGTCCTCTTTGAAAATAGGCTTGTGGCAGGACCATGGAATTGCCCAGCTCTAGTAGTTCAAAGCAGGAGCCTTGAGTGATGATGAGACCCTTAACATTTCAGAAAAAATAAAGTAAAATAAAACCTCCTCCCCTCCCAAATTTGGACATGTATATATAGCTCCAACTTTGGAGTAAAGGGGAAGGAGTTCTGGGAGGATTTCCAATGATAACAACTATTAGCAATGGTATGAGAAACAGGCTGGGGCAAGAAAAAGATTTAGCTTCTAATGTTGACTCTTGAGCCTTGGGAGCATCAACAGAGAGATAAAAACCTGAAGTTTCATACAAAAGAACAGTTTTTCACAGAAGTGGAACATAGTCTAGAGATAAAGAAGCCACCTGTGGAAGAGTCTCTGACCATTTCTCTCCTCTTGTTTCAGATGACAGTCATGTCCCTTTCCAGGGACCTCAAGGACGACTTTCACAGTGACACGGTGCTCTCCATCTTAAATGAGCAGCGCATTCGGGGCATTTTATGCGATGTCACTATCATTGTGGAAGATACCAAATTTAAAGCCCACAGCAATGTTCTGGCAGCTTCAAGCCTGTATTTTAAAAATATCTTTTGGAGCCATACAATCTGTATTTCCAGCCACGTCCTGGAGCTGGACGATCTCAAAGCTGAAGTGTTTACCGAAATACTTAATTATATCTACAGTTCCACAGTCGTTGTCAAGAGACAGGAAACAGTCACTGATCTTGCAGCTGCAGGAAAAAAGCTGGGAATATCATTCTTGGAAGACCTTACCGATCGCAACTTCTCAAATTCCCCGGGTCCCTATGTATTCTGTATTACTGAAAAGGGAGTGGTTAAAGAAGAAAAACATGAAAAAAGGCATGAAGAACCAGCCATCACTAATGGGCCAAGGATCACAAATGCATTTTCCATCATCGAAACAGAAAATAGTAATAACATGTTTTCCCCGCTGGACTTGAGGGCAAGTTTCAAAAAGGTCTCTGACTCCATGAGAACAGCTAGCCTTTGCCTGGAGAGGACGGACGTCTGCCACGAGGCAGAGCCTGTCCGCACACTCGCTGAGCACTCATACGCTGTTTCTTCCGTAGCTGAGGCTTACAGAAGTCAGCCTGTACGTGAACATGATGGCAGTTCACCTGGTAACACAGGGAAAGAAAACTGCGAAGCCCTTGCAGCAAAACCGAAAACATGTCGGAAGCCAAAGACATTCTCCATACCACAGGATTCTGATTCAGCCACAGAAAATATACCACCCCCTCCAGTATCCAACTTAGAGGTTAATCAAGAAAGAAGTCCACAGCCAGCTGCCGTTCTCGCTCGTTCAAAATCTCCAAACAATGAAGGAGATGTCCATTTTTCCAGGGAAGATGAAAATCAATCTTCTGATGTTCCCGGGCCGCCAGCAGCAGAGGTTCCACCTCTGGTGTACAACTGTAGCTGCTGTTCCAAAGCCTTTGACAGCAGCACTCTGCTCAGTGCCCACATGCAGCTTCACAAGCCAACCCAGGAGCCTTTAGTGTGCAAGTATTGCAACAAACAGTTCACCACCCTGAACAGGTTGGATCGGCATGAACAGATCTGCATGAGGTCAAGCCACATGCCCATTCCTGGAGGAAACCAACGCTTTTTAGAAAACTATCCTACCATTGGACAAAATGGAGGTTCATTCACGGGTCCAGAACCTTTATTATCTGAAAATAGGATTGGTGAATTTTCCAGTTCCGGAAGTACTTTGCCAGACACGGACCACATGGTTAAATTTGTTAATGGGCAAATGCTCTATAGTTGTGTTGTGTGCAAACGTAGTTATGTGACCTTATCTAGCCTCCGAAGACATGCAAATGTTCACTCCTGGAGAAGAACATATCCTTGCCATTACTGCAACAAAGTATTTGCATTGGCTGAGTACAGGACAAGGCATGAAATTTGGCATACGGGAGAAAGACGATATCAGTGCATTTTCTGTCTTGAAACTTTCATGACCTACTATATACTCAAAAATCATCAGAAGTCTTTCCATGCCATCGATCATAGACTTTCCATCAGTAAAAAAACAGCAAATGGAGGCTTGAAGCCTAGTGTCTATCCATATAAACTTTATAGGCTACTGCCTATGAAATGCAAAAGGGCCCCTTATAAGAGCTACCGAAATTCTTCCTATGAAAATGCACGAGAAAACAGTCAAATGAATGAGTCTGCACCTGGTACCTATGTTGTTCAGAATCCACACAGCTCTGAATTACCTACGCTGAATTTCCAAGATACTGTAAACACCCTGACCAACAGTCCAGCCATCCCATTGGAAACATCTGCATGTCAGGACATACCCACTTCTGCCAATGTACAAAATGCAGAGGGCACCAAATGGGGAGAGGAGGCATTGAAAATTGATCTTGACAATAACTTTTATTCAGCTGAGGTGTCAGTTTCTTCCACTGAAAATGCTGTCAGTTCTGACCTCCGGGCAGGGGATGTACCTGTTTTATCCTTGAGTAATAACAGTGAGAATGCCGCCTCTGTGATCAGCTACAGTGGCTCTGCACCCTCGGTCATTGTACACAGCAGCCAGTTTTCATCGGTGATCATGCACAGCAATGCCATTGCTGCCATGACCAGCAGCAACCACAGAGCCTTTTCAGACCCAGCTGTCAGTCAGTCCCTGAAAGATGACAGTAAGCCTGAGCCAGATAAAGTGGGTAAGTTTGCAAGCAGACCCAAAAGCATTAAGGAGAAAAAGAAAACTACATCACATACCAGGGGAGAAATACCGGAGGAGTCAAAATATGTTGCCGATCCTGGAGGATCATTGAGCAAAACCACAAATATTACTGAAGAAACCAGTAAAATTGAAACCTACATTGCAAAACCTGCTCTGCCGGGAACCTCCACAAATAGTAACGTTGCACCCCTTTGCCAAATAACAGTGAAAATTGGAAACGAAGCCATTGTGAAAAGGCACATCCTAGGATCTAAATTGTTTTATAAAAGAGGGAGAAGACCTAAGTATCAGATGCAGGAGGAGCCTTTGCCACAGGGGAATGACCCGGAACCCAGTGGAGACAGCCCACTCGGGCTTTGCCAATCCGAGTGCATGGAGATGAGTGAAGTGTTCGATGACGCAAGTGACCAGGATTCCACTGACAAACCGTGGCGCCCTTACTACAACTACAAACCCAAAAAGAAATCCAGACAGTTGAGAAAAATGAGGAAAGTCAACTGGAGGAAGGAGCATGGAAACAGGAGCCCGAGCCATAAATGTAAATACCCAGCAGAACTGGATTGCGCCGTGGGGAAGGCTCCTCAGGATAAACCCTTTGAGGAAGAAGAAACTAAAGAGATGCCCAAGCTGCAGTGTGAACTCTGTGACGGAGACAAAGCAGCAGGGGCTGGAAACCAAGGAAGGCCCCACCGACATCTTACTTCTCGGCCATACACCTGCGAGCTCTGCGCCAAGCAGTTCCAGAGCCCTTCCACACTCAAAATGCACATGAGATGTCACACCGGGGAAAAGCCATACCAGTGCAAGACCTGCGGACGGTGCTTTTCGGTGCAAGGAAACTTACAGAAACACGAACGCATCCACCTGGGCTTGAAGGAGTTTGTCTGTCAGTATTGCAACAAGGCGTTCACCTTGAATGAGACCCTCAAAATCCATGAAAGAATCCATACTGGAGAAAAGCGTTACCACTGTCAGTTCTGCTTTCAGAGATTTTTGTATCTCTCCACCAAAAGGAATCATGAGCAGAGGCATATTCGGGAGCATAATGGGAAGGGCTATGCCTGCTTCCAGTGCCCCAAAATTTGCAAAACAGCTGCTGCCCTTGGAATGCACCAAAAGAAACACTTATTCAAAAGCCCAAGTCAGCAGGAGAAAATAGGTGACATGTGCCACGAAAACTCAAATCCCTTGGAGAATCAACATTTCATTGATTCAGAAGACAATGACCAAAAGGATAACATACAAACCGGTGTGGAAAATGTTGTCCTTTGAGTGGCAAGAGTTAGAAAAATCTTCAAAAATATAGTTGGTGTTTTTTTTTTTTGGTTATGATTTAAGTTTAGTTTAATTTTATTCACATAACAGTCATGAAGGAGTGAAATTTAAAAACAAAACAAAAAAACACTCATTTGTGAAAATTCCAGAAAAAGGATCCTAATATCTACTTTGGGTTTTAGCATTAACTTTATGCAAAGTGCACAAAAACAAAATAGCTGACTCCTCCAGTATCCCAAGTTTCTTGTGAAAGTTAATGAAGTTCTTAGCTGTGGTATTTCTACCAGTGAAAAAAGGAGTTTAATTTTAGCCTAGTTTGAAACTTTCTAATAATTGCTAATAGGAACTGGCTGCTGAACTGTCTTTAGTCACTGGAGAAAATGAAGATGGCATCTTCGTAAATATGTTACGTGGTAATGAGCTGTGTGACGGTCTTTATTCCCATCTGGCTTCTGCACTATTAAAATTTGTTTAAATTAATGGATACACATGAAATACTTAAACAATATAACTGAAATTATGTGCATAATGAGTAACCTAAAGTAGGACATTCATACATTATGTAGAACTACTTTTCTGCAACACAAACCTTGTAAAATACATATATAAATCACTATAACTTTTAACTGTCCATATCCCCTGTAGAGAATTATGAGGAGCAATAGATCTGCAAATAATGAGGACTGATGTAAAAATCAGTAGAAAGCATTTTGAATATGATTTCAGAGCATGTGAATGCTTTTAGATGGAATGCTGTTCCCTTGAAGTTATGGCTCAGCTGTTCTTAGAACTGGTCTACTCAATTCACAGAAAACATAGGTCATGCCTTATCTATGGGGGAACACCCTCCCAGAATTTACCTGTGATTACCTGTGCTGCATATTACTTTGCAATGGCCTCATCTCAGAGAATGAAAGAGGGTCACATTCTTCTGAAACTCTCTGCAGTCTTCCAACCACCACAAGGCCATGGATGTGGGGGGTCTATTCCAGACAGACTTAAGGGTTCAAGTGGAAGCTGCCATCTCCCATTCCACTGAAGGACTGTCGAAGAGATTTAGTGCAAGGTACACTGCAGTAGTGAATTCCCAGGCACTTGAAAGTGACTGCCTAATCCCTAGTAATTGTAATTACTAGCCTTCTTGGAGATTATGCAGCCCACAAGTACAGACTAGTATAAAGCAAAAGGGCAAAGGAACCCCCACCCACCACCCCACCCACTAATGACTTGAGTGGGCAAGAAGAAGTGATGGCCTTCCTTGCCTAAAACAATAGCTTTGTTTTTAGGGGATGGAAAGGTAGAATGTGGAGTGACATGGTTCTATCGTTTACTTATGAGACTCAGAAATATATCTACAAAGCCAGATGCTCTGTCGTCATATTTGCAGACATCTACACCCCTTGCTAAAAACCCACTGAAGTCTTTTTAATGTTCTTTTACACTGACCCACACCATCAACATTACCCTCAAATCTAATTGCCCTACATCATATTCTATCATGTGGACCAGGTTCCTGGAAAGCTGGAATGCATGATTCTTTTTTAAACTGCCAGAATGGGAGGGAGAGAGAAAACATTTCTACCCTTTGATCACCGGTGTGAACAGAATCCGGAATGCAGTTTCAGCCTGACCTGCAGTCATTCATGTTCATTGGATTTGACGAATGGAAACCCAAGGTTATCGAAGATTGGAAGGTTATCATTGTGAAGAAGTAGCTTAAAGGACTCCGGTTTCTCTCTACAAGTGTGATGTCTCCATGAAGAAGACTTCGTATGGATTTGGGTGGGTAAGAAAGCATTTAAACACCCACGAAAGGACAATGATTAAAGTTGACCTTTTAATACTGTAGTACCTTGCTGTTAAGTAACCCCACTATTGTATCTGCATTTATCTTTTGTTCATCTACTTTCACTTACATACAGTATTATATAAGTAGAGAAAAATGGGAAAATGCAAGCAAATTCAACTTTATTTTATACATTGTATATATGTATACCCTACACTATTCATTTGGGTTTTGTTAGATAGTCACAAAGGGCTTATGAAAATCATTTTTGAATTGATAATTAGAACATTGAATAAGCAATCCTGTGATCCACTAATTTGTTTTATCAGTTAATAATATGAATCAAAGATAATTAGTGTGTACTCTAGTCATTTTGATTTCAGTTAACCCCAAATATAAAATTACCTGTAGTGATGTCTCTCTCCCAGCCCTTACATGTGGATATTTTTTAAGTGGGACTTGTATGCTGATAATTCTAGACCAAAGTAAATATGGCAGAATATTTATACATGAAAAAATAATTTTGCAAATATTTTCTATAATTGTATTCATTTAAAATGTTGATAGCTTGTGTTAGTTTCAGGGAGGGGTGTATATTTTGATAAAAAAATACTTGACTTTGTAATTCTGTATATTCTATACAATTTATAGCAGAGCCGTTTTAAGACAGCCTTGTCACTTTTTTTGTTAATTGTGAAAATTTTATTGAGTGATGTTTAAGTATGCATTGAGTACATGACCAACTAGAATTAAAGTAAGTGTAAACAGTGAACATACTGTATGCTGTACAAGATATAATGTAACTTGCTGTTTTAGCATCTGTATTTTGGTTAGAAGATATTATTAAATGCAGATGTTAAGGATTGGAAAAGTCTAATTTTATTTTTAGAAATAATGGATATAAATTTGTTTTTGCTTGATTAAAATAGCTTATTCCTATATTAAGTCTCTTTTTAAATGTTTTAATGTTATTTCTTTCGTGCAGCTATTTCATCTGAGTCACAGCTTTGTTTCCACGTATTATTCATTCGGTATATTTCTGTTTCCTTACTTGTTTACATTCCGTGGTACCTACTTACATGCTTAGGAGTCAAATGGATTATGACATTAGGAAAAAAGCAGAATAAAAGAGATTGAAGTCTTCTGATGATTGAGTGTTTTGGATAGGCCTGATCTTATAATGATAAATCAGAGAATGAAATGCTCTCCAGGAAGCATTCTGCTCCACTCATCCGCGGGAAACAAATTACATTTATTGAGTACCAGGCACTAGGCAACGTCTTTACATAGGCTATTTCATTAACACACACACACCAGAATTCAACCTCATTATCCTCATTTTATAGTGACTTTGAGAAGGTCTCACAACCAGACAAAGCCAGGATGCTAACCTAGGTCTGCCTGACTCCAAAGCCCATGTTTTTGTTCCTTCTCAACACTGTAGAGAAAAGTGATTTATAGAAACTGAACAGAGTATGAGGAAAGGAGACATGATAAAGTAATGCAGCTTTAGGATGGCAGTTAGTGACTGCCCTGGAACGGGATTAAAGGAGGCTGTGTCGGGTTCAGCTTCCCCTGAATTGGGCTTCCCTTATATCTCAGGAGATTGCCCTATAAAATCAGTAAAATTTGTGCACTTTTTTAAGAATGTGGAGTAAAATTGTAATGGCATTATAGGCTAGTAATTTTCACACAAAGAAAAAAATACGTTCCGTCGTCATAGACTCTACTCCTAAACTTAGCTAACTATCTTGCAAATGCCTGCAGTTTGTCCCAGGGGGCCATGTGAGAGGGGATGTCGGTGGCTCAGGCAGCACAGTCCATCACCAACACAGAGAAAATTACTGCCAGGCCTACCAATGGCTGGCTAGTAGCATCAATTTTGTATTGGAAGGGCAATCCAAACCAGATTCACCAAAAATTTGATAACTGTTATCTGCTAAAACTAATTTCATTATCTAAAAGAAAACATTTAATATTGAAAGAATTTGTAACAATTGAGAAAGTAAAAGCATAAAACAAAAAATGTTAGTACATTCTTTTCCATCACTTCGGATATTTTCATTCCTACTGCTCTCTGTCTTATCTCATCACCTACTGATTGATTTGGTTCCACTCCCATCTGTCTGTATGAGTTTCTTTTTAGAGAAGCAACAGTTCTTCCACTTAGGTTTCCTCCATATCCAAGAACTCATCCCCATCCCACTCCCCCTCCCCAAATCCTGACCAGCTATTGATTTCTCTTCTGGAGAGAGAAGCCCCCTTTGCTCCCTCCCTAGTTTGTACCTCCTAACCCAATTCTTCAAGCAAGATGGTCAGTGAGCAAGAAAGTTGGCTGGGTGTGCAATTTAGAACTATTCACTCTAAATTTAGACAACGAATGGACGAACTAGTTAGAAATGTTATATTTTTATTTCATTAGTAACATCTAAAACATTCTATTTAGAATGTTTTTCTGGAAAATCAAACACTTTTTTGCAATAATTTTAAAATATATGACTCGTATGTAATTATAGGCAAAAGTATTTTATTCCAGTTAGAGAAACTGGTAAACAGACATTTTAAAGATGTAATAATGCAGCCAGGCGTGGTGGCTCACAACTGTAATCCCAGCACTTTGGGAGGCCGAGGCGGGAGTTGGAGAATGGGCTGGCCAACATGGTGAAACCCCGTCTCTACTAAAAATACAAAACATCAGCTGGGCGTAGTGGCAGGTGCCTATAATCCCAGCTACTGGGGAGGCTGAAGCAGGAGAATCACATGAACCTGGGAGGTGGAGGTTGTAGAGAGCCGAGATCATGCCACTGCACTCTGGCCTGTGCCACAGAGCAAGACTCCATCTCAAAAAATAATAATGCTAACTTATGTAAAAGTGTAATTCATTTATTCAAAATATACTTAATTTTTACTGCTGAACTAGGACTATAGAGATGTGAGGTAGCTTGTGCCTTTGAGGAACTTAAGTCTGGTGAAGGAGATTGACGAGACAATAGATGATTATAAAACAAAACTCTGAGCTCTTAAGAGGCCTAGAACCAAAGCAGAGAGAAGTGATACTGAGCAGAGACTAGTGGAGCTTGGCTTCACCAGAGGGGTCAGGTCTAGAGAGGAGCGACTAAAACAAAGGAGCCACGGACGAATGTAGGTTGTTCCAAAAGCCTGGGTTTTGGGATGATGAACCTGGAGAGGCACGTGGGACACATCGTCAGGGCCTTGGCTTTGCCGGAGTCGAACCTCTATCCTGAAAGCATAAGGCAGTGGGCAAGCAAAGGAGGGGCTGGGTAGTAGGAGGTGAACTCAGAGAGAGGTAACACAATATCCAAGCAAGATGGGAAGCCTTTGGAGGACTTCAGCAGAGAGTGGAAGGATCTGATGTGCTTACAAGGATCACTCTTACTGCAGTGTAGTGAATAGACCACAGGCCGGGGCAAGGGTGGAGGCAGGGAGATGAGATAGGAGGCTGTGGCAGGAGATGACAGTGGCTTGGAAGAGGGTGGGAGTAGTGGAGACAGTAAGAAATGGGTCACATTCGGGAGATAGATTTTTAAATTTTGTAATATGGACATTTTAAAGCCTATGCAGAGGTAGAATAGTTTGGTAAAACCTAGTGTATCCATCATTCAGCAATCAACAATTCATAGCCAATGTTGTTTCATCAATACCCTCATCTACTTTCCTTCTCCACTGTATTATTTTGAAGCAGATCCTAGACATCATACCATTTCATCTGTAAATATGTCAGAACGCATCTCTGAAAAGGTAAATGACATTTTTAATATAACCATATCATTACCATTCCTTAAAAATTAACATTTCCTTAATATCATCAAGTTCCATTCGTTAAAATTTCTGGTTGTCCCATCATTATAATTTTTTTTACAACTGGAAACAGAATCCAACTAAAGTCCCATTCTACAATTAGTTGATATACCTGTCCTTTAATCTATAGATTTTCTATTTTTTCCCTTTGCAATTTCGTTCCGAAGAAATTCTGTGATCATAGTCTAGGAAGAAACAAGACAACTTCCTAGGTGGGGGGTTCTTCCGTTAGGAGGTACACTCTGTGTGGCTGAGATATTGGATGTATTTGAGGTACACTCTGTGTGGGAGATATTGGGTGTATTTGAGGTACACTCTGTGTGGCTGAGATATTGGAAGTATTTGAGGTACACTCTGTGTGGCTGAGATATTGGATGTATTTTGAAGACAGATATGATAGATTTGCTAATGGTATAGATTTTTCAACCAGGGGTTGAAAAACAGAGGAATGAAAAATGACACCAAGGTTTGGGCCTGAGCAATTAGAAGGATGGTGTTGCCAACAAACTAGATACCTGGGTTGGAAGTTCAGAAGAGAAGACTGACTTGAGATACGGATTTGAAAGTTGTATTTCATTCATTCAAAATATATTTGAGGTGGGAGTACAGTACAAGAATGGACAAAACAAATAGTCCCTGGAGCCTGTGGCATAGAGGGGAACACGAAAGGCTGAAAAGCTGATTAATTACAACCATAGTAAATGCTATGAAGAGCTGCATGGTGCTCTGAGGGCATCTAATGGGGGAACGTAACCTAGTTGGGAGGTTCAAGGGAGGCTGTCTTTGAGGAAGTAACTTTTTTTTTTTCAGACCTAGACCTGAGGAAGTAACTTTTGAGCTGAGGCTTAAGAGATAAATAATAGTTGGAAGGAGAGAGAGTTTCTAGGTTGGGGGCTAACAGATATCAAGGGCAGCCTGTGGAGGGAACACAGTTCTTTGGAGGCCAGTGGTGTCCAGAGTATGTGAGAAATTGATTTAAAATCAGACTAGAGAACAGGAGCCATACCATGCAGAGCCTTCAAGGTCATGCTAAGAATTTGGATCTTATACTAAGAGCATCAGAAAGCCATTGAATTATTTAAAGCAGGTTGGGACAAGAAGAGGTATATTTAATCAGGTTTGTATTACAAAAGAGTCACTGTGGCTGAAATATAGACAATGGCTTGGAAGACAGTAGCGGCCAGAAGTAAAGCAGTTAGGAAGCTACTGCAGTTGTCCAGGCTGGAGATTACAGTGGCTTGGATTTGTTAACTGGAAAAACTTTAAAGAAGTTAAATTTAACAGAGTTTAATTGAGCAAACAACCATTTGTGAATTGGGGACCCCTAAGAACCAGAATAGGTTTTAAGAACTCCAGCCTACAACATAGGCAGCATTTATAAGAAGAAAATGGAAGAAGTAAGGTACAGAGACAGCTTCATTAGCTGCAGCTCAGTGTTTTGCCTTATGTGAATCAGTGAGCTGCCTGAGATTGACTGAAGCTCAGCTGCTGAACTGACTGAGACTCAGCTGTTAGTTTAGGTTTTTAGTTAGTTTACATACTAAGTAAGGTTGCAGTTCATTTTGGACTTGAGTATGAAGGCATCCTTAGGCCAAATTTAGTTTAACTGATGATGTGATTGCAGTGAAGATGGAGAAAAAGGGGAGGATTTGGGAGATACTTAAGAGACAGAAACAGCAGGACTTGATGTTTGATAGTATATGGGAATTGAGGGCTAGGGATGGATCAAGGATAGTCTTTGGGTTTTAGATTTGTTGAAGCTAGGAGTGCAAGATGTCCCCCCCATGAAGCTTGTATAGAGAAGGAAGAATCTAGAAAACACTAGTACAAATGGCCTCTGACTTCTGAGGTTTCCACTTACAATTTTTTGACTTCATGATTATGCAAAAGCAATACACGTTCAGTAGAAACCATATTTTGAGTACCCATACAAGCATTCCATTTTTTACTCAGTACAGTATTCAACAAATTTCATAAGCTATTCTACACTTTATCATAAAATAGGCATTGCATTGGATGAGTTTGCCCAATTACAGGCTAAAGTAAGCGTTTGACCCACATTTAAGGTAGACTAGGCTAAGCTATTTGGTAG